TGCTGAACCCCAAATGCATAGTCTAGGTTTTGAAAGAATCATGTCTCAAAACCAGCCTGATTTTTCTCAAACAGTCGTGGGACCAGGAGGCACGGCAATCTTGGCTGTGTCTAACATACTGATCTAGGACATAAAAATATGTGGGACAGCAAAGTGAATCCTGGGCCCCTGTTCCTTCAGCTGCTGGAAAAGTCGCTGCAGGTGGCAGGCTCTTGGGAAGTGAGAGGGCGGAAAAGGCCACGTGGTGAGTGATGGGGCAGGGGAGGGGGTGGTGTGTGGCCTTTACAAACCAAATGTTTGCCAGACCCAATGTCAGATGTCCACGATTTGAATCCTGAATTTGTCATTCACAACCTATGTGGCCTGCGTAAGGTTCTTACCTTCCCTGATTCTCAGTTTTCTGTAAAATGGGACTAAGAAAGCCTCTCTTGCAGGGCTTTGAGCTAAGTAAAAAAATGAGCACAAAGGTGCCTGGTACATTGTGGGTGTTCAACACGTGTCTGTTTTGTCCTGATAAATACGTGGCTCTGACTCAGTCATTTTAGAAAACATTTAGATTCATATCCGGTTGGGAGAAAAAAATTGGTTTGAGGACACCATTTGGTTAAAAAAAAAAATGGGGGGGGTGGGGGCTTCCTGGGCTTGATTCCATGTGGGACTCAGACAAGCACAGATTGTTCCAGCTCTTGGCACCTGGTTTGCTCTCACATGAGGCCCTGCTCTGCTGCGGGCTGCGACGGTGAAGGGTATGATCACACTGCCAGCTCAGAACACTCAGTTCAGGAGAGGGAGAGCCTCGCCCTCGCTGGAGGGGGAGCGGGGATTTCGGCGGCAGGCTGATGCAGCAGGAGCGGGGGCTGGTGCGGGCCTGGCCTGGTCGCTCGGTAGACGGGACACATCACAGAGCCTGTTCTTTCTTGGCTCTGGACGTGCAGCTCGAGAGCTGGTGGTAATTAGTGGGGGACAGCAGCCCAAGTAGAACATGACAGCATCCTCCAAGGGGGGACAGGCACTAGGCACAGATGTTGCCAGGAGACTCGTTTCCGGGGCGGTTGCTGTGGGGTGTCAGCAGACGACCCTGAGGCTGGGTCCTTGGCCAATGGCGAGGCTGTGTCTGAGGACAGGGCTGAGCAGGACCCTGGCCACATTGCCCAAGGAGCTTGTTCTCTGCAGAGAGGCAGCGTCCAGGCCTGATTAGGTTTTGCGTTGGTTCTTCCACAAGAAGAGACATGCCAGGCCTTCTGATGGCCAGGACGAGCCTACTGGACACTTTCTCAGAGGCATCTGGGGGCAGGGAAGGAGTCTGGGAGTGAAACCGAAATGTCTAGGTTCTAATCTGAGTCCCAACCACCAATCTGTATGCGTTGGGTCCCTGCCTGGCCTCCCTGGGCCTCAGTCTTCACCTCTGTAAAATAGGACAGTAGTACGTGAGAGGTCATTGTGAGAATTATGAGATACCACTTACAAAGTGTCCACAAGTTAGTTCCCTTCCCTTCTCTTACGCTGTTTGTGTCCAGGGCTAGAGAGGAGAGACAGCTGGACAGAAGTGAAGGCTATTACTGTTTGAGGCCCTGTGGCTCACAGAGAGTCAGAAGAGGCTGGGCAGAGGAGCACAGGACTGGCACCCGGGGCTCAACCTTAACTCTCAGGACCTTCTGGGGCTCAGTTTCCCCATCTGTGAAGAGGCCCTACTTACTGGTTTCATCCTGGGCTCACTGTGAGACCAGATGGTGATGGGCATGAAAACTCAGCTCCTGGAAGGGTAGTGCACAGCACACACATAAGGGGGTTGTTTGAACAGGAGTCGCCTGCCATGGGTTTCCCCCGAGCCCACCCACGTGGGAAATGGACAGTTCCTCGTGGACCTTCCCCTGAGACCCGTATTGGCTTCATGGGTATTTGTCCAGAGACCAGATGTGGGCACGTTGGCTGTGAGGAGCTGTGGGGTGACGGGAGGTGGGGCGGAGCACGTCCTGTGGCTTTGTCTCTTCTGATCTGCTAGAAGGCCTGGGACGAATGTCCTCGTGTCTGGGGAAGACTAGGAGTAGGGACAGCCCTGTGAACCCTGCCCGGGATTAAATGTGTGGGGTCAACATGAGCTGGGAACCCCCAGAGGCGGGGGGCCTGGGGGTGGGCCCTGGGGGTGATGCAGGGAGACACCAGGGGAGCAGATTCTGCCATTATTCCATTACCAGGAGGGACCATGATGGTGAGAAGAAAATTTAGGGTCCATATGTTGCTTTAAGGCTCACAAGCGCTTCCACATCTGTCACTACATTTGACCTGGAGGATTTCCTAGCGAGGCCATGTACATGGTGGAAGGAAGAGAGTGTGACGGGGACTAGACTGAGGCAGGCTGGGATGGCTCCTCTGAGGTTTGCTCTGGCCCCTGAGCTGCATGTGACTTTCTACTCCGTTGCTCCCTGTCTGGGCTTCTGCTTCCTTCTTTCTGCCCTATTTCCCCCACCCACCCTGTTGCCATGGTTACGTACATAGGCCAGGCCCAGCGGGCACCAGGGCATTTCACCGGAGCATTTCACCGCAGCCCTGCCCTGAAGCCATAGCAACGGCTGGGCAAACTTCTGCTTTTGGCTTGCCTTTGGGGAACCACGCTTCCCTCTTGGCACAGGCTCCAAGTCCTGAGGACCCCTGAGAAAATGCCTTCCCTGCTTTCTGCCTGTTGGG